TCGCGTCAGGGGTAAGAGAAGCTCAGAATGATGTCACAGTAATGTGACATTACTAGCACTGTTAATGTGACATTACTAGCTTCCTTAATGTGACATACTAGCTCCCCTAATGTGACATTACTAGCTCCCTTAATGTGACATTACTAGCTCCCTTAATGTGACATTACTAGCTCCCTTAATGTGACATACTAGCTCCCTAATGTGACATACTAGCTAAACCCCTTAATGTGACATTACTAGCTCCCTTAATGTGACATTACTAGCTTCCTTAATGTGACATTACCAGCTCCCTTAATGTGACATTACCAGCTCCCTTAATGTGACATTACTAGCTCCCTTAATGTGACATTACTAGCTCCCTTAATGTGACATTACTAGCTCCCTTAATGTGACATTACTAGCTCCCCTAATGTGACATTACTAGCTCCCTTAATGTGACATTACTAGCTCCCTTAATGTGACATTACTAGCTCCCCTAATGTGACATTACTAGCTCCCTTAATGTGACATTACTAGCTCCCTTAATGTGACATTACTAGCTCCCTTAATGTGATATTACTAGCTCCCTTAAGGGAGCTAGTAGTGTCACATTAAGGGTGCTAGTAATGTCACATTAAGGGTCCTAGTAATTTCACATTAATGTGACATTACTAGCACCCTTAACGTAACATTACTAGCATAGTTGAGGGTGACAATAAAGTCATATTCAACGGTCTGGAGGTGTGTGCAAGACATGTGAAGGGGCACTTCCCTTCCCCTGTTTTCTGTTATTTTCCCCCTATAATCTACCTCGTCCATAATTTCTATCCCATTTGCAAATATGATAATAATTATAGACAAGGTAGATTATAAGGGAAAAATAATATATTAATAGAGGACGAGGGAACTGACGTGTGCCATAACTCTGCTGTTGAAGGATAAACAATGCTAAACTAAGGGAAGATCGCCCCCCCCCCTTCATCCAGTCTCATTTACAAACCTTGCTCTCAAGCCCCTTCCCCGACAATGCTCTTCTCACCTCCCACCCCACACCACCGGAAGTGCCCTGTTTCCTCCCTGCTCTACCTACAACTCCCCACACCCCTCTCCCTGCCCTGCCACATGCCCACCCCCTCTTCCACACAAGGTCACTCATGAACACACCCGTGAGCAGTGGTGGTGGTGGTGGTGGTGGTGGTGGTGGTGGTGGTGGTGGTGGTGATGGTAGTGGTGGTGATGGTTATGGGGGTGATGGTAGAGGTGGTGGTGATGGCTGTGATGGCGGTGATGGTGGTGGTGATGGTGGTGATGATGGTGATGATGATGGTGGTGATGATGGTGGTGATGATGGTGGTGATGATGGTGATGATGATGATGGTGATGATGATGGTGATGATGGTGATGATGGTAGTGGTGGTGATGGTAGTGGTGGTGATGGCGGTGGTGGTGGTGGTGGTGGTGGTGGTGGTGGTGATGATGATGGTAGTGGTGGTGATGGTGGTATCACCATCACCACCTATGATAGTGGTGGAGGTGATACCTGGTTGCTAGTCCTGCCCACTACTTCACCTTTGCTCCTCGCATCTAATTACTAGTTACTTAGTTACCTGTAACACCTGTCACCTGCACCTGGGTAACAAAGGTCGAGATGCACCTTAACACCACAGTCATCTCTAAGACGGGTTGCTTTATTAGGGTTAAAGCTTCTTGACCTGTATAACACCAGTCAAGGGGACTTTAAGTCCTAAAATATTTATTAAACTTAAATCTCAGCTTTAGATACATAAAGACACTGAGGTTTTAAGCCTATATATACTTGTGTATATAACCTTAATACTTAAAGTCTATATACATTGAAATATACACATTTAACAAACCCTGTTTTTTCTGTAAAATAATGAGTATCTTTGAGATTCAAATATATCTCTAAGTTAAGGAAATTATTTAGCAGACCCATGAGAAGGCGAGTTATCAGTGTGAGACATCCGGGCAGACTAAGTCAGTTGAACAATGCTAGAGGGCGGGGCGTTGTTGTAACCTTGAACTACCCAGCTATATAGAGCGGGACAACAGTAATTAGTGGGTTTTACCCGCATCAACCACTGCTACTGTTATCTAAGTACCAAACTTCCTGATGACCCTGGAGAAAATAGTTACTAAAACTACCGTTAGTTAACGCCAGTTTTTTAAGTTACAGCCTCGTGGCCTGAGTCCTCAGCTCACACACTGAGGTTCCGAAGATCGATCCTGGCACGGGTAAAACGTTGGACATGTTTCCTTACACCTGGCCTTGTTTACCTAGCAGTATGTACCGGGCGTTAGACGACTGTTGTGGGACAAGATTAACCTAAGTTGCCCGAAATGCTCTGCATAACCAGGGACCTTCTATATTGTATGTTACTGGAGTCAGGTCTGTATCAGTTGTATCATGTATTTGTAGAAATAAATAATATTATTATGTGTTAAGCTTCCATGACTACTTGGCAGATTGTTCCAGTCATCTGTATGTCTACTGCTAGACCAATACTTTCCTATATCCTGTATAAATCTGAATTCATACAATCTGACACCACTGCTCAAACACCTTACTTGATTCGATATACTCAGCACCCTATTTATTCTATATACCTCATGTATATCTCCCCTTATTTCAAGCCTTTTAAGAGTGCAGACTGTTAAAAGGCTTACAGTACAGTGGATTAACTTGTTCATCTTCACACCATGTTCTACAATGCATTTACAGAATATTCATTCTGAAGTGCAGTGACCACAACTACACTGCATAATCTAAACGAGGTCTTACGAATGATATTACATTCATGGGGGAAGGTCGGGGAAGCGCTTAATTCGTGAATCAGGTTCTAGCCAAGGAAAGGGTCGATAGGTCCAATTCCTTGGTTTCATAGGGAAGGGGACGGGAGGTACATGACTGTCAGGATGGGGCAAGATGAGCCTTAAAAAAATTGAGCTCATAAAACTGGCAGAATTTTGTGTGATGGTATTAGTAGTAGTAGTAAGTGCAGATTCTGCAAAGTGCCTGTTCTGCTGGCTAGTTTTCTGATGACTAACTGGGCATCAGGAGATGTGTGGTGTTCACTTACAGGAATCTCTCTCCTCGTCCAGGTACTCCGTGTACAGGTTATCCAGGACCGCACTAAGGGATGAGCCTATGACTATCCCGAAGGATTACCTGTAATTAGTTGCAGAAGAAGCAGCTGAAACTGGAAGAGGAAGATCCATGTCATCTGTGCCTTAGCAGGGTAAAGCAAGGGTTTGTATGGTAGTAACCTTAGTGAACAAAGATGTGGTGTCACAACCGATGAATTTCTTGCTTTTGACGTTGGTGGGGCTAACCCTGACAGATAAATCATCAGAATACTTGAAGTCAGCATGACTGATCATGACTAACAGTTGGATATTATGTTTTGCCAAAGTTCCTGCTAGTCTGTGGTACACTGCCGCCCGAAGAGACAGTTCCAAGGGAAAGTCCTGGGTAACCCACATTTGCGTAGTCTCGAGTTACTGGAAACCAGGCTGAGAAAGATTTTTTTCCTGTGTATTTCAAGACTTGGTGTTCAGGCAAGGAAAAGTCTGGCCAATCTGTCCATATCGTAAGTACAGACGAACTGGTAGTTGTCTCTGTCACATAGACGGACGCCCATTTTAGAGTTGTATCGTCAGTGTCCACTATCACTATTGCATCTTGCTTATAGACTGTGCTGACAGTCATGGACTCGTCAGGTTTGCAAGATCGGTCAAGTGCTGGCCAGCCAATAATAGCTTTATAGGTTCACTTACTGTGGCCGTAATTAAATTCTGGATGATATCTTGAAAAATCATTATCCTTATAACTGTACTTTTTATAAGATTGAGTTCTGTCTTGTTTTTGTGCATCTGTGTGGTGGAGGTGAGCCCAAGGCTCAGTGTCATGCACGAGAAGGCTAAATGTGGCATTAGATAGAGACGTTCACATTCTTCTAAATTAAGCTAAGCTTCAATTTTTTGCAACAATATCGGCATTTCCTGCCCATGCAACCAATGTTCAGTTGACTTATCTTGTTGTTACGGTTATATTTGTGTATTATAAGTTTCTTCCTTCTTTTTAATATTTATCCTTGTCTTTCCACTATTTATTTATACTATCATTAACTAGGCTTCTGAATGAGTTACTGTTCCATTACGTTGTTTTATATTAACACACACGTTTATTTCCTTTATAACTGCTATTTCTAAATTTTATACTATGACAATTTTGATAACTTCTTGCTAATTCTACAGCACCACAATCCCTTGATTTCCTACAAACACCCATACCTCATTTTTTTCAGTTTAAGAGGCACATAAGTTCCCCTGTCTTCTAATAATATGTTCAATTTTCCACTGTAATCCACCGTGTCCACAATTGTGTTGCAGAGGTGTGAGCGAAACTCACACCTCTGCAACACAATTGTCCTCAAAGACTTGTTAAGTTATAACATGAATTAAGGGAAGATCCTGGACTTCACCTTACCAAACAAAACAAATGTGATAGTGATTATGGACAAGGTAGATTATATTGTAAAAATGAACATGTTACTGGAAGACTGGGGAACTTACGAGCCCCGCAAAGGTTCCTCGTGGATAGTAATGCAAACATTAAACCCTAAAAGTCATATGACCACCCTGCACTAACCAGTATACTTAGTACATATACACTTGCCCAACACATTGTTCCTCTTACCTCACAAAACTCCACTGAAACACCTTTTACCTTATTGGTTTAGGGGTAAAGCTAGTTATATGTACTCTAACCAAAGTGTTTCTTTTGTTTTCATTTATACCGTATGCACTGTACACTCCTTACACTACCACAAGCTTCCTACAAGTGTAAAAAAAAGTGGCACCTCAGGTGGAGTGGGGTTACTGACCTTTGCTCCAGGTGATCTTGTTCTCGCAGGAGCCATCATGGACTACCTCAGACACACCACGGCAAGTTGAGATTGTGTGGAATGGAGTCTCGAAGCTGGGGCACGTCTCCACATCTGTAAGGTAAATAAATACACTGTTTAGTATATATGTCAATATTGTTAATACTATTAATACGTACTGTCATATGTATTTATGTAATTCATGATGGTTGGTACAGGGTGTACACTGTGACCATCTTCAAATTCCGTGAGAGGCAGCTGGAAATATATCAGTACAAGCTATTAGAGCATGGACGTCTATTATTCCAGTTCCTTTCACTCCCCATCATACCCACAACATATCATATTAAACAAATCTTAGTACATAAGAACATACAGGTAGGTCTACTGGCTCATTTTTATTAAACCCTGGCAAACATAACACGGCAGATCTTACTCAATCCTACCAACCCACGTATGTATTTGTTTAGTTTAAAAAACAAATGTATCATATAAAAGACTATTATAATAAAATATACACCGTTGTGGTGGATATATAAAGGAAGAAGAATAAGGAGTGAGCGGATATGTTAGCCTGGGGGGAGTGGCGCTGTAGGGTAGCAGCCGGCGTCAAGGATAACAAGTCTAGCAACAAGGTAGTCACCTCAATGTTTGTCATCACTATTCCACCACTGCCGCCGGAAGTCCAACACAACGCTCTTCAAGGTGTTATTCTCCTACTCTACTTCCTTTACCCTAATATGTAACTATATAAAATACTATCAACATGTTACACACACACAGTAACTAGTTGTGTTATGTTCGGCGCCATCACTCACTACAGCTTTACCGCTTCCCTGTCAATAATAATAATAAATAATTGGACCCCGTTACAATTAAGAAGAAAAACAGCAAACTCTTCAAGGCTTGATGCTGGTGAAGGACTCTTGATCCAAGGAGTTTGAGCTACCCTCCACTTGACCGGACCAAACATTATCACGTTTCCTATGACACTCCAAACATCATGTACGATAGAAGGTTTAACAGGTCTTGACCCTGGTGACTGAACTGGTACATAGCTGCTACAGACACGAGCAAAAGGAAAGCAATGAAAAAGTGGAAAATGTGGGAGAATAAGAGAGAAATGGAGGAGAAAGGTGTGTTGCGGTGGCAGGGGTGAAGAAGATCCCGCGGGGAACACTGTAGCAACTCTGCCTGCCATTACTATCCAACACTGGGGAAAGCTGCTCTCTTTACCACCAGCTGTTGTCACTGTCTGCTCTCACTGACACCACCAACAACCACAACATCAACACCACCACCAACCACAACATCAACCACCAACCACACTCAACACCACCAACAACCACAACATCAACACCACCAACAACCAACAAACACACAACACCACCAACAACCACCAACCACAACATCAACACCACCAACAACCACATCACCACCACCAACAACCACAACATCACCACCAACAACCACAACATCAACACCACCAACAACCACAACATCAACAACAAAAGCATTTTCTTCGGTTGTAGAAAAACATTTGATAGTCCCAAGCCAGAGATTAATCCAGAAATTATGAGAGGAAGCTGGGTTAAGAGGCAGTGAGTCAAGGACTACCTGAATGACACAAGGCAGAGGGTAACAGTAAGGAATGAGACGAGATTTTTTTGAGAGTAATTAGCGGGGTTCCTCAAGGATGAATTTTAAAAATTCCTGCTGTTCCAAATATACTTGAATTACCTACCAGAGGGGATTTAGTCTTATATGTCACTGATTGATGACCATGCAAAAATAATGAAGAAAAATAAGAACAGGAGAGGACAGTGATGAACTGCAGAAAGAGTTCAGGAGACTGCAGATGTCAAACATTTGGCCTCTTGAGTTCAACCCAAGAAAATATAAGGTCATGCGCTTTGAAGAGGGAGAGGGCAGACTGGACACGAAGAGAAGGTACACGTATCAGGGAGTGAAAATAACCTAGAGGTGTATAAAACACCTAGTATATCGCCAGGCTTTCCCAAACAATATAACGGCAGCGGCATATGCAACATTATTAAACCTTATAACAGAATCGAGGAACTTTAATAAAGAATACTTCACAACCTTATACACGACATATGTTAAGCCAATCAGTGAGAACGAAGCTCCAGTATGGAGCCCCACACCTGGAGCCCCACACCTGGTCAAGCACGTGAAGAAACTTGGAACAGATCCAAGAGTTAGCAACCAGGGTAGTACTAGAGCTGATAGGGATATACTATCAGGAGAGGTTAAAAGAAATGAACTTAATGACCTTAGAGGAGAGAAAGACAATGGGGGACATGATTAGTACGTACAAAATCTCAAGAGGAATTAAAGGGTTGATAGGGGCAGACTGAATTAAGAGGACCAGGATCAAGGGGACACAGGTGGAAGCTGAAGACAGATGAGCTACAGGGACGCTAGGGAGTATTTTTTTTTAAGACTCGGGATGATTGAAAAGTGGAATGACTTGGATGAGGCAGTGGTGGAGGTAATCTCAATACACAGCTTGAAAATTAGATCTGATAAGGCGCTCTTAGTTGTAATGAGCTACATGCGAAAATCTAGGGGTTGAAGGTGAGTCGTGAGTGGAGACTACACACAGTGTAAACACAAAGTATTCTGGAAACCACAGAGCTAAGTCAGCCTGGCCACCACCACTGCTAAATAAACCAGACCAGGAGCTTGAGACTCCACCATACCACACACAAATACTGAAGTTTACACAATGAAGGAAGAGCTAGAAGCAACAAAGAGGCATGGGAGAAGATAAGTAACAACTCTCCCTCTCCCTCCGTCACTACTCTCCCTCTCTCACTACTCTCCCTCTCCCTCCGTCACTACTCTCCCTCTCCCTCCGTCACTACTCTCCCTCTCCCTCCGTCACTACTCTCCCTCTCCCTCCGTCACTACTCTCCCTCCCTCACTACTCTCCCTCTCCCTCCGTCACTACTCTCCCTCTCCCTCCCTCACTACTCTCCCTCCGTCACTACTCTCCCTCTCCCTCCGTCACTACTCTCCCTCTCCCTCCCTCACTATTCTCCTTCTCCCTCCCTCACTACTCTCCCTCTCCCTCCCTCACTACTCTCCCTCTCCCTCCCTCACTACTCTCCCTCCGTCACTACTCTCCCTCTCCCTCCGTCACTACTCTCCCTCTCCCTCCGTCACTACTCTCCCTCTCCCTCCGTCACTACTCTCCCTCTCCCTCCCTCACTACTCTCCCTCTCCCTCCGTCACTACTCTCCCTCTCCCTCCGTCACTACTCTCCCTCTCCCTCCGTCACTACTCTCCCTCTCCCTCCGTCACTACTCTCCCTCCGTCACTACTCTCCCTCTCCCTCCGTCACTACTCTCCCTCTCACCTCCCCCTCACTACTCTCCCTCTCCCTCCGTCACTACTCTCCCTCTCCCTCCGTCACTACTCTCCTCTCTCCTCCGTCACTACTCTCCCTCTCCCTCCGTCACTACTCTCCCTCTCCCTCCGTCACTACTCTCCCTCTCCCTCCGTCACTACTCTCCTCTCCCTCCGCCACTACTCTCCCTCTCCCTCCCTCACTACTCTCCCTCTCCCTCCGTCACCAATCTCACCTCTCCCTCCTTCCACCACTCTCACCTCTCCCTCCTTCACCACTCTCACTTCTCCCTCCTTCACCACTCTCACTTCTCCCTCCTTCACCACTCTCACTTCTCCCTCCTTCACCACTCTCACTTCTCCTCCTTCACTTCCTTTCTCCTTCACTTCTCTTTCTCCTTCACTACTCTCCCGCTCCCTCCTTCACCACTCTCATTTCTCCCCCCTTCATTACTCTCGCCTCTCCCTCCCTCCTTCCACCTGGTTCAACCACCTCTCCTCCTTCCCTCCCTCCCTCTGGTTCAATCACCTTTCCTCCCTCCCCCTGGTTCAATCACATCTCCTCCTCCTCCCCCTTGTTCAATCACCTCCTCCCTCCCCCTTGTTCAATCACCTTTCCTCCCTCCTCCTGGTTCAATCACCTCCTCCCTCCCTACCTCCCCTTGTTCAATCACCTTTCCTCTCTCCCCCTGGTTCAACCACCTCTCCTCCCTCCCTCCCCTGGTTCAACCACCTCTCCTCCCTCCCTCCCCCTGGTTCAACCACCTCTCCTCCCTCCTCCCTCCCCCTGGTTCAACCACCTCTCCTCCCTCCCTCCCTCCCCCTGGTTCAATCACCTCTCCTCCCTCTCCCCTGGTTCAACCACTTCTCCTCCTCCCTCCCTCCCCCTTGTTCAATCACATTTCCTCCCTCCTCCTGGTTCAATCACCTCTCCTCCCTCCCCCTTGTTCAATCACCTTTCCTCTCCCCCTGGTTCAACCACCTCTCCTCCCTCCCCTGGTTCAACCACCTCTCCTCCCTCCCTCCCTCCCCCTGGTTCAACCACCTCTCCTCCCTCCTCCCTCCCCCTGGTTCAATCACCCTCTCCTCCCTCCCCCTGGTTCAACCACTTCTCCTCCCTCCACTCTCCCCTGGTTCAATCACCTTTCCTCCTTCCCCCTGGTTCAACCACCTCTCCTCCCTCCCTCCCCATGGTTCAACCACCTCTCCTCCCTCCCTCCCCATGGTTCAACCACCTCTCCTCCCTCCCCTCCCCCTGGTTCAATCACCTTTCCTCTCTCCCCCTGGTTCAACCACCTCTCCTCCCTCCCTCCCTCCCCCTGGTTCAAATCACCTTTCCTCCCTCCCCCTGGTTCAACCACCTCTCCTCCCTCTCCCTGGTTCAATTACCTTTCCTCCCTTCCCCTGGTTCAACCCCTCTCCTCCCTCCCTCCCTCCCCCTGGTTCAACCACCTCTCCTCCCTCCCCTGGTTCAATTACCTTTCCTCCCTCCCCCTGGTTCAACCACCTCTCCTCCCTCCCTCCCTCCCCCTTGTTCAATCACCTTTCCTCCCTCCCCCTGGTTCAACCACCTCCTCCCTCCCTCCCCCTGGTTCAACCACCTCTCCTCCCTCCCTCCCCGTGGTTCAATCACCTCTCCTCCCTCCCCCTGGTTCAACCACTTCTCCCTCCTACCTCCCCTTGTTCAATCACCTTTCCTCCCCCCTCCTGATTCAATCACCTCTCCTCTCTCCTCCCCCTTG